ACACACAAAGTTGACTCAAAAAACCTAAAAACACTGGAGGATTTCTTCGTCACCTCATGTCTTTGACTTAATTTTTCGGTGGAATAATCACGTCTAAATAAGCAATAAAACATCTTTAAACTTCATTTTAAGATACGTAACACATTCCACAAAAGCGAGTTTTACGCTATCTTTAGAAGAGGACATCGAGATGCGCGGCACCAAGCTGAGGACTTGTTCAACCGGTATAGGGTACAATATGAGAGGTTACGGAGCGAGGACTCCGCGAACTTGAATGAAATGAGATGCTCTCATTTATCGCTTAGTAAGGGAGGGACTGGCGCGAATATCCTCGCAACGCTTACAGCAACATTACAAGTGGAAAATTGGGCACCATGTCTGTAAATTACTTTGGAAATAAAGACTACATTATAGGGAATTAACTCTCTCATCCTTCACTCTCTCTGTGTATAATTTAATTTTAATGTTCTCATACAGAAGGGACACCAATGTAATAGCCTGCGAACACAGTCGTATTTCCGGCTGTCTCTTGTCTCTAATTTTCGGCGAAGACATGGAAGCGACATCCGGAAATACGTCTGCATTCGAAGGCTACCAATGTTGTGACCATACAATATTGCCAAAGAGGTTTAAAATTAAGCACAGTTACTTTGTTAAAAATAATGACAAATTGAAATTGAAAAGCATCTTCGCAAAAAGAGTATTAGTAACTCAAATGTAACTTAAATGTCTCATGCGTGGTCAAAAGCATTAGCCGCGCTCTTTCTTCAAGGGTTTTAGGTTTTTTTTTTCTGTCGTACGAAGAAAATGAAATGGCAATACAATGCAAACAGTTTGTTACTTGACAATGGTTCGTTTTTTGTTGTTGTTGTTGTTGTTGTTGTTGTTGTTGCTGTTGTTTTTTTTAAACGGCGGACGGCTTTTAGCCTGTTGTTTTTGTCATCAAAAATTTATTCATTCGTTTTTATTTCATAATTTAATCATTATACCTCCTTATTACATGTACTTATTTATGTATGTATTTATTTAATTATGGTTCTAAAAGCGTGCACACTCGAACATGAGCACTTATTCTTATGCGCGCAATATTTCTAACACTACCCAATGAGCAAGCTCTTGGCACTAACCAATGCATTAGTTTTTTTTACAATGTGAAGAGAGTTATCTTTTTACTTGATGAATAGAAACCTCATTGCGCAGTCATACACTCTTTTTTATATAGAATATATAAAAGAGTAAATAATATGAATAAGAATAAGAATGTAAGAATATAAATAAGAATAATAAGAATAAAAATAATTAAGACTTTTTGTAAGAATATCGAGGCTGAAATTTTACGAAATTTTAAAAATATCTTACGACTAAACCCGAGGCTAAGATTTTGAAAAGAATATAATTTTATGTGTTGAAAATTTGGAAATACAATACAATTATATGTTTTAACTAAACCGTATAAAATTCTTCCTTTCTCAAAATTAAAAGGCAAAACTAGACAAAAATGAACAAAAACAGCATTAGCCGTACGTTCGATGCTAATAACATTTCTCCATGAAGTTATATGCGTTATATTAGGTTCCAATGCCTGCAAGCTGGCTCTAAAATCACTTTAACACAATCCAGACACCAAATACATTCGAAAACAGAAATGTCCTACGCTACAATCTAAGAATATTCACAAGACATTTTCAAATGATATCACGTAAAATGACGACGAAAATTTGGTGCGGAAAATTTGAAAAATGTTTTCTCGAATGAGAAAAAATGGCTTCAAGAAAGATCTTCCGGCACTTCCTCCACGCGAATTTTTTCATGTTTATATTATTATTAAATAATCATACGGTTTTTCCTGTTCGATTTGGAATTAATTTGCACTTGTGAGTTTTTCGAAAAGCTGAAATTGCACGCGCCGAAGCAGCTTGTGCAATTTCAGCTTTCTGAAAAATTAAAAACTCACTCGTGCAAATTAATTCCAAATTGAACTCGAAACCGTATGATTACCTGTACAAATAGCACACATGTAAAAATGATTTAAAAAATCAATGTTCATGTGCAGAATTAGTAAAGAAAACGGTTGCAGAATTTTAATGGGGTAAAACATTTCTAAAACAATGGCTCGCTATGTGTTTTAAAATTCATACATTTTCCCACAAAATCACGATCAAGTGTATATAATTATGTGAGATAACTAGAATTAGTTATAATTATGTGAGATAAGTAGGATTTTATGTGAAATGAGCAGAATGAATATTGAAAAGCTGATATTCGTAAAGAAAAATACTAGCCCAAAATCTTTGGGAATCAGCTCGAATTAACTTTTACATAAGGAGTCCAAGTTCTACATAAAACGTGTACCGTTTCAAAAAAAAACATGAGAACAAAAATTATGAATTTTGAAGAAGATGCGGCTCATACCTTTAAAGGTGATATATTTGTTTAAAAGCCGGCGAGTCATGTTTAAATTATTAATTCCTTGCGTTTTAGTGAATCAAGCTAAGTGATTTGTCTGGCCGCCTTCATGACTGAGAAGAATATTATTAAATACAGCGGTTAATAAATTAATCTTAGATGAAAAAATATATTGTTTGGTAAAAAGCTGGCTTGAACAATGCTGAATGATCGGTGACAGCTGTTCAAAATTTTCTTCCCACTCAGCGAGAAAAAATCATCAGGGCAACGGAAAGAAAAATAACTGCGAATAACTGAAAAACAACGATGTCGGTAGCTTGGCTCAATACAACACTAAATGGAACACAGCCATCGAGCTGCCAGCATTCGACAGCAGAAAACATCGGAATAACTTTTGCTTATTGCCTCTTGATGGTTGTTTCGCTGGCTGGGAACACGTTCATTGGAATAATTGTCTACAAGACGGAAAGTATGAGAAAACCCATCAACTTTTTAATCGTAAACATGGCCATCTCTGATCTGCTGTATCCAATTTTTGTATTTCCGCGTTTTCTATCAAGTTTGTATGTAGACTACTGGTTGATAAGTGGTCCTCTTGGCCAGGCCTTGTGTAAGCTTGTGCTCTTCTTCCAAGATATCTCCCTCTCTGTGTCACTGCAGAGTGTGGTTTTGATAGCAGTGGATCGATTTGGAGCTGTGGTATATCCCCTCCGTTCCCCACTCATCAGTTCAAAGCTGTGTCCGGTCTTCATTCTCGCCACTTGGATCGTCGCTAGTGCAGTCTTCTCCCCAGATCTAATCGCCTTCAACCTGGTCGAAAATCCAAGAGGGCTTGTGTGTAAAATGCAGTGGAACGACGCCTTCGGAGAGTCTTCTTCCTTACAAAATTACTTTGTATCAACGTTTGTGGTATTCCTTTATACTCCTTTAGTGTTGATAACCATACTTTACATTATCATCTATGTAAAGCTTAAATCACAGAAGATTCCAGGAAATGACTCGATCAATGCTGGACGACAACGCCTTCTGAGGGAACGTAATGTGCTTAAGATGGCCGTTGCTGTTGTGTCAGGATTTGCAGTATGCTGGCTGCCCTTCGGTATCATAATCTTAGTCAGTCTCTTTAAGTGGGACCAGACTACAAAGTCGTCTTGTGGTGTCGGACATCTTCTTACTGTGGTCGCAATGATGGCTCGCGCAAATTGTGCAATAAACCCTTGCATCTGTTTTATTTCAAGTGGAAATTATCGTAAAGGACTTAAGAAATTGTTGAAATGCTCTTGACTGCAGGATTAAAAAATTAGTAAAATTTTGCTTATAAATTGTCAAAACATCAAAGAAAAGTATTTTTTATTCGCTCAACGCTGATCTGTATGGAAACACTCATGAACCGGCAACCACAAGAGCCGCGCGTATCTCTCTAATGGTCAATAAAGGAATTACAAACAGAATACTTCATGCCAGAGACATTTTCAGCATATCGTGAGCGTGAGACAAAGAAACATCTGAGCGCCAGACAGGATTCGAAGCCATGACCTCCTAGATTCCACCTGTGTCGAGGAAGCGGTTTTCTGCATAATAAGAACGGCAAGATTCGTGTCACGTGATATAACGCTAACTGAGCAATAGAACCTCCTCGATAGATAACTTTCATTTTTTGGAAAGCTATGCTAATTTTTGTTGTTGTTGTTGTTGTTGTTGTTGTT